CAACAGCAGCATCAGCAGCAACAGCAGCAGCAACAGCAGCAGCAAAGCTTACTCACATGTCCTGCGCGGTCTGCAAGGGGCCCCCGCAGGATTATGTTGCTCAACCAGCTAGCTATAGCTAGCTAGCTGACTAGCTAGCTAGCTGACTAGCTAGCTAGCTATCTAACTATTTAACTAACTAAAGGGGCTAAGCAGCACAACAGAAACTGCTTTCCTTTCGTAATTCTCTCTGCTGCTGCTGCTGAGGCTGTTGCTGCTGCTGCAGACACTAGTGTTTGTGCTGTTAGTACTTGGGCAGTTGCTGCTGCTGCTGCTGCTGCTGCTGCAGCAACTGCGAGAGCCGAAATATTTATTTGAAGTATTTAATCTCTCTTCAGCTAACCATGAAAAAACATCAAAAATAGGGCACAGATTGCTGCTGCTGCTGCTGCTGCTGCTGATCAGCACAGGTAGCTGCTGCTGCTGCTGCTGCTGATCAGGACAGCTAGCTGCTGCTGCTGCTGCGGATCATCAGAGCTAGCTGCTGCTTGTGCTGCTGCTGATCAAGACAGCTAGCTGCTGCTGCTGCTGCTGCGGATCATCACAGCTAGCTGCTGCAGCTACTGATCATTACAGATAGCTGCTGCTGCTGCTGCATATAATTACAGTTAGCTGCTGCTGTGTACACCTGGCTGTTACTGTTGTCGGATAGCTGCTGCTGATGCATATATCTAGCTGCTGCGAATGTGTCTGCTGCTGCTTATAGCTAGCTGCTGCTGCCTCCAGCGAGGCACAAGAGAAGAGGTTAAATCCTGCTTCTCCCTATCTACTATCACAAAACAATTGCTGCTGCTGTTGTTGCTGTTGCTGTTGTTGTTGTTGTTGTTGTTGTTGTTGTTGTTGTTGTTGTTGTTGTTGTTGTTGTTGTTGTTGTTCTGCTGCACACAGGCTGCACCCGTTGCTGCTGCTTGTAGTCAATGAACTAGATGTACTTCCACCGCCATATTTGCTGCTGCTGTTGCTGTTGCTGCTGCTGCTGTTGCTGTTTCTATTGTTGTTGTCTGCAGCTGCAGGATTCGCTGCTGCTGCTGCTGCTGTTGCTGCGTCCGTTGTTTGTTGCTGTTGCTGCTGCTGCTGCTGTTTGCTGCTGTTGCAGCTAGTGACTCAGCAAGGAGGCGTCTCCAGTCAAGAGGTAGTTGGGTACTGTCTTCTGCAGCAGCAAACCTCCTGAAGCAACTGCTGCTGCTGGCTGCTGCTGCTGCTTCTGCTGCTGCAGCTGAAGAGGGTTAGAGGGGCTACCCGTCATTGCCCCTTGGTTATGCATTTGCTGCATTTGCTGCAGCTGTAGGATTCGCTGCTTCTGCTGCTGGAGAAGCACCTGCTGCTGCTGGTGCTGCTGCAACTGCCTGTAGGACTGCAGCTGCTGGTAGGGCAAGTGCTGCTGCTGCTGCTGCTGCTGCTGTTGCTGCTGCTGCACTGGAGTCGAGAACCAAACAAGAGGCTGCAGAGCGACTGGGGAATTGCCGCCCATAGCAGCAGCTGCTGAGGCAGGAGACACATGAGCAAACTGCTGCAGCTGTTGCTGCTGCTGCTGCAGCTGTTGCTGCTGCTGGAGTAGCTGCTGCTGCTGCTGTTGAGGGGTAACGTAGGTTTGGACGAGGTATTCCTTCAGGCTCTGCGCTGTGCTGGGAGTCGGCAGACCCCTGTGGCCTATCCGCTGCTGCTGCTGCTGCTGTTGCTGCTGCTGCTGCTGCATGCGAGGCAGAAAGACAGGGAGAGGCTGCTGCTGACGCTGTCGCTGCAGCTGCTGCTGCTGCGGGCCCGGGGAACTGTAAGAATGAACGGGCGAAATAGAGAGCCCCTCTAGCTGCTGCTGCATTTGCTGCTGCTGCTGCTGCTCCGTCACAGCTGAGGCCGATGCGGAGCGTTGGTTAACGGGAGTCAATTGCTGCTTCCAGAGTGTCTCTTGCTGCTGCAGCTGCTGTTTCTGCTGCTGCTGCTGCTGCTGCTTCTGCTGCTTCTGCTGCTGCTGCTGGGGCTCTTTGTCGTGGTCAGTTAGCCTTCCAACGCCTTTGCTGTTTGTACGTCGCAGAAGATGAGCCCCTTGGTGTTGCTGCTTCTGCTGTTGCTGTTGTTGCTGCTGCTGCACCATTTGTTGCTGCTGCATTTGCTGCTGCATTTGTTGCTGCTGCTGCTGTATTTGCTGTTGCTGCTGCATTTGCTGTTGCTGCTGCATTTGTTGCTGCTGCTGCATTTGTTGTTGCTGCTGCATTTGTTGTTGCTGCTGCATTTGCTGCTGCTGCATTTGTTGCTGCTGCTGCTGCTGCAGTTTGAGTTGTCTTGCTGCAGCAGAGCGCGGAGTGAAGACCCTGGGTTGATGTACAACCGGCACCCACGAATGAAGAAGCGGCAGGCCGTTCACAGACTGTGCAGGAGAATGTGCTGCTGCTGCTGCTGCTGCTGTCGGTGCTGCTGCTGCTACAGTGGTTGTATGAAGCAGCTGGGCCCCCTTACCCTCATTTCCGGATTGCGCATTAAAGCCCCGCAATTGTCGCTGCTGCTGCATATGCTGCTGCTGCAGTTGCTGCTGCTGCTGCTGCTGCTGCTGCTGCTGCTTGTTTGTGCTGCGGAGGATGACCTGGCCATTGGAGTCGGTTTGCAGCGGCGATCCTCTGCGGGCTCTGCCCGAAGAAGACGAGCAGGTGCTTCTATCAGGTTCAGCAGACCAGAGAAAACCCTAAACATTAACAACACATACACACACCTGCTGCTGCTGCTGCTGCTGCTGCTGCTGCTGCTGCTGCTGCTAGTGCGGGAGAAGGATTGGGGAAGGGCGGTGGTAGCAGCAAAACAAAAGAAAGAGAAAGCAGACAAAAAATACTCAACATAAAAACCCTAAACCCTAAACCCTAAACCCTAAAGACAGTGAGGTAGCTGCTGGAGATGGTAAGAACAGCAGCAACAACAGCAGCAGACGCAGCAGCAGAAGCATAAGACGAAGCAACGCCAACCAACGAAGCAAAGAAGCAGCAACAACAGAAGGAGTAAACAAGCTGCAGCAGCAGGAGCAATTATGCAGCAGCCGCAGCAACAGCAGCAGCAGCAGCAATTATGTTTACCTGCTGTTTCTTGCTTGTTATCTTCATCAAATTAGCTTCACTCTCTTCTGCTTCGGCTGGCTGCAGCAGCAGACGGCTGCTGCTGTTGAGAGACTGAACCCACTCTTGCTGCTGCTGGTGCTGCTGCTGCCACGCGTCGTTGCGCCTGCGGGTGTTGTGCTGCTGCTGCAGCATGTGCTGCTGCTGATGCTGCTGCGGCTGTCTGAGAGCTGAAACCCACAATGCTTCGCCAGGGTCAGCAAGCCGGGCACCCCAGGGCCCCACACTCTTTGCTGCTGGTGCTGCGCTGCTGCTGCTTTGCTGCTGCTTCCGCTGCTTCTCTAAAGCATCACCCCAGAGTCGTTCAAATACCTGCAGCAGCAACAGCAGCAACAACAGCAGCAGCACCAATAGTAGCAACACCCCAGGCAGCGTCCTTCCCTCCTCAGCAGCAGCAGCACTTGCTGCTCCTGCTGCTGCGGTTGCTGCTGTTTCTGCTGTCTCACCTGAGCGCTTTTGCTGCGGCTTGCTGCTACTCCCTTGGCTGCTGCAGCAGAGGCTCTTGGCTGAACACGGGGGGGTCTAACACCTGTCTGTACACCCAACAGCAGCAGCAGCAGCCACAGCAGCAACGGATACAGCTGAAAACCCAAGTCCCTTTACATCAGCAGCAGTAGCAACAAGAACAGCAGCAGCAACAACGGCAGCAGCGGCAACAACAGTAGCAGCAGCTGCAGCAACAACAGCAACAGCAGCAGCAGGGAGCCGTCTTACTGCTGGGGCTGAAGCAGCTCTCTGCTGCGCAATCGTTTGTCTTGTAAGAAGTCTGCTTGCTGCATGCATAAGAGAAGCTACAGTAGGCTGCAGCAGCCTTGCTCCCCCGCTTGCTGCTGCTGCTGCTGCTGCTGCTGCTGCTGCACTCTTGGGATCGTTGCTGCAGCAGAAGCAGCACAAGCTGCGGTAGCGGAGACCATGCGGGCAGAGGCCTCGTCTTCTGCTGTCTGCTGCTGTCTCCTTTTCATCTTTCTTGCAAGAAAGAGAGACAGAGCGAGAAGCAGCACCCAGACGGTTGTTGTTGCTGCTGCTGCTGCTGCTGCTGCTGCTGTTGCAGTCCTTGCGGCTAGCGCGGGAGCACATGCTGCTGCGGCTGGGTTCAGCAGCACCCAATCTACCCCTCCTCTGCTGCTGCTGTTGCTGCTGCTGCTGAATGCTGTTTGCTGCTTGTTTTGTTTGCTGCTGCAGCAGCGGGTTGTGCTGCAGCTTCTTCACGATAGCATGGCGAGCAGGAGAAGGAATCTCACCCCACAAGTTGCTGCTGCTGTTGCTGCTGCTGTTGCTGCTGCTGCTGCTGCGGTTGGTAGTGCTGCAGCTCTTTTGAAAGAGACTAGGGGGTTTATTCGTCTTCTTCTTTAGAGGGAAGTCGCGCGTGCTGCTGTTGCTGTGCATGCGGCTGTCTGCTGCAGTAGTTAAGCTGCTGCGGCTGTCAAGGCGGCGCTCTACAGGGACCCCAAAAGAGAGACTCCTGCGGCTGCTGCTGCAGCTGCTTCTGCTGCAGCAGCTGTTGCTGCAGCAGCTGCTGCTGCGGTTCGGTGGAGCCCCCGAGTCGTATGCTGCTGCTGCTTTGTACGCCTTAGGAGTCTTGCTGCGGGCAGCAGCAGCAGCAGCACCAGGTACAGAAGCAGAAGACAGCTTCTTTAAAGAACGGCTTTTAATTCCCTTCGTATTTTTCTCGTCTCCTGAGAGGAGGCTGTCATCCGACAAGACAAACTCCTCTTCTGCTGTTGCTGCTGCTGCTGCTGCTGCTGCTGCTCGGGGAGAAAGGACGGATATATCTGCTGCTGCTGCAGTAGCAGCAGCTACTGCTGCTGCTGCTGGAGAAGCAGCTACTAAAGATGAGTCTTCCATGGTGCAGGCCGAGAATTGGTGCTGCCCAGGGGAGGCCACTGCTACTGTGTTGCTGCGCTGCTGCTGCTGCTGCTGCTGCTGCTGCTGTTGCTGCTGCTGCTAGGCAACAAACACCAAATAATCTACACACTTTTAAAAAAATGATGGCGGAGAGAAGGAATCGAGAGCAGCAGCAAAACAGAAACCCGCGAGCCCTTCCACCCAGCTGCTGCCGCCGTCCGCTGCTGCTGCTGCTGTTGCTGCTGCTGCTGCAGGTGTGTATTTGCAGCTGCAGCAAAGCAGCAAGATTTCCTTTTAAAAATAAAAATAAAAATCAAAGGAAGTACAGACACTGCAGCAGAAGACAGCGGCTGCAGCTACGGGCGCCGTTGGTGCCCGTGCTGGTGGTGCCGCTGTCGCCGCTGCTGCTGCTGCTGCTGTTGTTGCTGCAGGTTGCAGTTTGCTGCTTCTTCGCGAAGAAGAATAAGAAATCTTTCTTTATAATGAGTGTATATACTTCTTTTTTGTCTTTGAAGCAAACAAACAACAGAAGGAGACAAGCAAAGAAAAACAAAGACGAAGGGAGGGAGGCCGCAAGGACAGTCGGCAAGCCACCGGTCCTGCTGCTGCTGCTGCTGCTGCTGCTGCTGCGGCTGCTGCTGCTGCTCCTGCTGCCGAGTAGAAAAAATAGACTCGTGCCTATTTTAATAAAAAGAGAAAATAAATACTCAACAAAATATTAACACGTAACGAGCCACAGCTGCAGCAGCAACAACAACAACAACAGCAGCAGCAGCAGCAGCAGCAGCAGCAACCGCCGCGGTCTCGAGTTCAGCGTGGGTAGCTGCAGATTCCTTCGGTCTTCATTGAAATCTGTTGATAACAAAATAAAAATAAAGAAAGACAAATATTTTTATTATAATTAATTATTTTATTTTTATTTTTTATAAAGAATCTGAGGCTTCTCCCCGCAGCAGCAACACGAGCAGTTGCTCCACTGCCGCTGCTGCTGCTGCTGCTGCTGCTGCTGCTGCTGCTGCTGCTGCTGTTTTTTTTATCTGCTCAAGAGAGAAGAGAAAAACTGAAAACCGCAGAAGAGCTATTTGTTTGATTTTTGTGTTTGTCTTCGTCGTGTGCATGCGCCCTTAGGGTTTAGGGTTTAGGGTTTAGGGTTTAGGGTTTAGGGTTTGTGTGGACGGGAGGCGTGGACTTGTTTGTTTCTGCTGCAGCAGCTCTTGAGTTTGAGGGTTTGGGGTCTAGGCTGAGGGTTTAGGGTTTAGGGTTTAGGGTTTTTGCTTCCCCTTCTAGCACGGGGTCCTTTGTCTCCATTGAGGGTTTGCATAAACCCTTGCTTAGGGTTTAGGGTTTAGGGTTTAGGGCTTAGTATATTGAGTATAGTCTCCTGCTTATCTCTACCTTTCGCCTCTTTCTCCTACATGCAGTGCTGCTGCTGCAGCAGCAGCATCAGCAGCAGCAGCAATTAAAAGAAGCAAACGAAAGGGAACTGCAGCAGCAGCGCAACAAACTGCTGCTGTCTGCTGTCTCCTTTTGCTGTTTCTTTGCTGCTGTCTTCTGTTTCTGTCTCTCCCTCTCTTTATTTATTTATTTATTTATTTATTTATTTATTTATTTATTTATTTATCTTCGCCTCTGTCTTTATAAAGACATTCGCTGCTGTCTCTCTTTGGGTTCGTTTATATTTTATTTGTTTGTCTTCGTTTATCTTTTTTTAAGTTTATTATATTTTATTATATTTTATTATATTTTATTATATTTTATTATATTTTATTTTATGTTACGTTATTTTATTTTGTTTATTTTTCTGTTTTGTTTGATTTATCTGTCTTTCTCTGTCTCTCTGTTTGGCGTTTGTCTGTCTCTTTCTGTTTTATTTATTTATTTTTCTTCTCTCATTTATTTATCTCTCTTTATCTCTCAAAACAGACAGAGAGACAGAGAGAGAGAGAGATAGAAAGACAGACAGACAGACAGACAGACAGACAGACAGACAGACAGACAGACAGACAGACAGACACAGACAGAAGAAGAGACAGAAGAAGAGAAAATCAAAAGGAGAGAAAAAAGAAACAGAGACAAAGAGAGACAAAAGCAGACAGAGTGCTGCATGCATGCAGCCCCAATTTGCTGCTGTCTCGTCTCAGTGGCGAAGCAACAGCAGCAGCATCTTCTTACAGCTGCTGCTGCTGTTGCTGCTGTTGCTGCTGCTGCTGCAGCTATGGCTGCTGCTGCTGTTGTTGTTGCTGTTGCTGCTTCTCTTACCTTTAGCAACTGCATGCAGCAGCAGTTTATAGATATATGTTTATGCTGTCTGTTTGCTGCTGATTGTCTCCTCCGCTAGTATGAAGCCAGCAGCACTTTAAAAGAAGCGAAGCAATAATTAATAAAAATAATATAATAATATAAAAGAAGAGGTTGCTTCAACTTGTTTGTCTTCTTATTTAAAAGGAGACAGCCGATTTACTCAAGATAAATCTTTTTAAGAATAATTATTTTGTCTGTCGTTCTTAAATCTATGAATTAATTTATTAATTAAAAGAAGATAAATTATTTATTATTTAAAGTAATATAATTATTTTGTCTGTCTCCTCCGATAATTATTATTTAATATAATTATTTTGTCTGTCTCCTCCGCCAAGACAAACATATTTTACTGCGTATAAACACAAACTGCCGCCTCTTCAATACTAAATTTATTATCTAAACTTAAATTATATATTTACTATCCCTCTCCTCATTCGCCTCAATCAGCTCAACGATTGCTGCAGCAGCAGCAGCTGCAGCAGCTGCAGCAGCAGCAATCGGCAGAGAAGCAGCAATAGCAACTAGCAGCAGCAGCAATAAACGTCAGCGGCACCATCAACAACAAATAGCAGCAGGAACGACAAGCAGCAGCAGCAGCAGCAGCGTATGCCGTCCCTTGAGAACGCAGTTGCTGACGGCTGTAATCCCTACTTAATAAGCTGCTGCTGCTGCTGTTGTTGTTGTTTCTGCTGCTGTTGCTGTTGTTGTTGTTGCTGCTGCTGTTGATGCTGCTGCAGCGGCTGCTGCCGTCTAAAGCTGCATCAACAAACATACCATGAACCTCCGTCCCTGAGCAGCAGCAGCAGCAGCAGCAGCAGCAGCAACAGCAGCAGCAACTGCAGGACGAAGCGGAGGCGGAGGCTTCGGTACAGCAGGAATACTCCACCAACGGCCTCCAACTGTGCTGCTGCTGCTGCTGTTGCTGCTACTGCTGCTGATGGCTGTTGCAGCCAGCTGCATGCAGAAGCTGCTGCTGCTGTGCTGCCGATGCCCCAGTCGTCCAGCAGCAAACATAATAAACACAACTTAGCTGCATGTACACCGCGACTCTACAATATGTTATCTTGCAGCAGCAGCAGCAGCAGCAGCACCAAGAGCAGCAGCAGCAAGAGCAGCAACAGCAGCAGCAGCAGCAGCTTGAGACGCATAGCTCAGCCTCTTCTCAGCCAGGGAGAGGAAACGGCAGCAGCAGCAAACACCCCGTCCACTTAAACTAAATTAAAATAAATTAATAATATTTAAAAATATATGCTGCAGCAGCAACAGCAAATCTTTAAGCTGCTAATCAGGCTGCTACGGCTGCCGCTGCTGCTGCTGCGGCTGCTGCTGCTGCGGCGGCGTGCCTGCATGCAGCAGCAGGAGCAGCAGGAGTAGCAGCAGAGACTACCGTTTGCTGCAGCTGCAGCAGCAACGGCATCGCAACACTTGCTGCAGCGCATTTGCTGCAGCAGCAGACTCAGCTCAAACTTTAAAGCAGGAGTAGCAACACTGCAGCAACTGCTGCTGCTCGAGCAGCAGCAGCAGCAGCAGCCGCCGCAGCAAGCCTTCAAACGCGCTGCATGCGCGCAATAAAATGGAACCTGGAGCAGCGGATTTGCTGCAGCAGCAGCTCCAGGGGCTCTTGGAGCAGCAGCACCGCCTGCAACAGCAGCAACAGCAGCAACAGCAAAAGCAACAACATCAACAGCAACAGCAGCAGCAACACCAGCAGGAGCGGCAGCAGCAACAGCAGCAGCAGCAGCAGCTGCAGTGGCTGAATACTGCGCTTCCGGAGCGAGACGCAGCTTCAGGCGTAGCAGCAGCGCCAGCAGCAGCAGCAGCGAAAACAGCAGCAGCAGCGGCAACAGCAGCGGCAGCTGCAACGAAGGAAGACGCCCCAGCAGCACCTGGAGGGAACAGTACAGCAGCAGCATCTATCTCGACAACGGCTTCTGCTGCTGCTGCTGCTGCATCTGCTGCAGCGGATGGGTGCGAAGCAGCAACTTGCAGCAATCTGCTGCAGAAGGAGGAACCCGCGAGCGACAAGCAGCAGCAGCAGCAACAGCAGCAGCAGCAACAGCAACAGCAACAGCATACAAATGCATCTGTTGCTGCCCTGTTGGCGCTAAGGAGACAGCATCTGCAGCAGTACCAGTTGCAGCAACTGCAGCAGCAGCGCATGCATAGGTTGCAGCAGCAGCAGCTGCAGCTGCTGCAGCAGCAAGCAGCAGCAGCAGCACCAGCAGCAGGGGCAGCCGCAGCAACAGACAGCCCCAGCGACTCTCATCCACATGCGGCTCCCGCAGCAGCAGCAGAGAAGAGCCTTCCTCCTGCCGGTGAGTTAGAATTTAGGGTTTAGGGTTTAGGGTTTAGGGTTTGGGGTCTAGGGGTTATAGTTTAGGGTTTAGGGTTTAGGGTTTAGGGTTCAGCTTGCTCTAATGACTTGATCAGTCAAGAGGACCACACAAAGCTGCTACTTCGATTGCTGCTGTTGCTGCTGCTGTTGCTGCTGCTGTTGCTGCTGTTGATGCTTCTGTAGAGGGCTCCCCAGACCTGGCAGCAAGGCTTCTAGAAGGCAGTGCAGCAGCAGCAGGACTGCTGCTGCAGCAGGAGCAGCAGCAGCAGCATTCGCTTCGCGCTGCAGCAACAGGCGCTGCTGATGTGGTTGGGGGCCCCACGGCAGCAGCAGGGGCAGCGCATCAGCTGCAGCAGCTGCAGCAGCTCAAGCAGCAGCAGCAGCAGCAACTGCAGCAGCTGAAACAGCAGCAGCAACAGCAAGCGTCCCTGTTGAGTCTGCGCCAGCAGGCGGCTGTTGCTGCAGCTGCAGCAGCGCAGCGGCAGCAGCAACAGCAACAGCAGCAGCTGGCGCTGCATCTGAATCAAGATACTACAGCAGCAAGCTCCACAGCAGCAACAGCAGCAGCAGCAGCAGCAGATGCCAGAAGCTTCTTGCTGGAGCAGCCTAGCAGCAGAGCAGCAGTGTTGCTCGCTGCGCTGCAGAAGCAAACGCTGCAGCAGCAGCAGCAGCAGCAAGACCCCTCAGCCCAGCATGCAGCAGCATCACGTTCTGGTAAGCCCTTTAAACAGCAACAGGAGCAGCAGCAGCAGCAGCAGCAGTAACAGCAGTAGCAGCAGTATGAAGGACGAGCTGCTGCAGCAGGCTTATCTAAATTCATTTTTGTGGTGCCGCCGCGACGCTGCTGCTGCTGCTGTTGCTGCTGCAGCTGTTGCTGCTGCTACTACTCCCGTTGTTGCTGCTGCTGTTGCGGCCGCTGCTGGTGTTCCTGCTGCTGTTGCCGTTGCTGCTGCTGCTGCTTCTACTGCGTTTGTTGTGGCTGTTCTTTAAGGGTTGGGCACACCATTGCATGCCTTGTTTGCTGCTGCTGTTGCTGCTGTTGCTGCTGCAGCTGCACTGTACTTGAATGCTCTGTTACCCCAACAAGGAGCAGCAAACCGGCAGCAGCAGGAGCAGCGCGCTGCGCGGCTGCTGCAGATGCAGCAGCAGGCTGTTGCGGCTGCTGCTGTCGCTTCGTCTTACAAGCTGCAGCAGCTGCAGCAGCTGCAGTTGCTGCAGCAGCTGCAGCAGAAGCAGCAGCAGCTGCAACAGCAGCATATGAGTGAATCCCCAGGTTCAGCTGCTGCTTCTCCTGCAGCAGCAAGGACGCCATCTTCAGCAGACATAGCAGCAGCAGCAGCAGCAACGACCAGTGCTCCTGCGTCAGCTGCAACAACAGCTGCGGCTGCTGCTGCAGCGCATTCAACGCAGCAGCAGCAGCAGCAAGGAGCCCCCGTTGCGGCAGTAGACAACTGGGTGCAGGTATGTATGCTGCAGCCGCACGATCAGCAGCAGCAACAGCAGCATCATCATCATCATCAGCAGCAGCAGCAACAGCACAAGCAACAGCAGCAGCAGCAGCAGCAGCAGCAGCAGCAGCAGCAGCAGCAGCAGCAGCATTTCTTGCATCGATTCCTTCAGCCCTTAAATCTGTTTATTTCACCTGTCTCCTCTTTTGTCTGTTCTTTTTCTGTCTCCTTTGTTTTGCTTCTTTTTGCCTCTCTTATTCTTATTCGCACCACTTCTTTTTATTGTTTGTTACTATTGTTTGCTGTTTATTATTTATTATTTATTATTATTGTTTATTGTTTATTATTTATTGTTTATTGTTTATTATTTATTGTTTATTGTTTATTGTTTATTGTTTATTATTATTTATTTCTCTCTTCTTTCTCTTTCTCTCCTCTTTCTTCTTTTTCTTCTCTCTCTCTCTCTTCCGTTTATATATAATATATATAATATATATATATAATATATATATATATATATGCAGTGTACATGTGTGGGGTGTCTGCACAGTGTGAGGCGTGTAAGAAGTGGCGTCGTCTCCCGCTGGGGATCGATCCCCACTCGCTCCCCGACTCTTGGTATTGCTCTATGATGCACTGGGATGCCAGCAGCAGCAGCTGTGCTGCACCTGAAGAAGACTATAAGGAAGAGCAGCAGCAGCAGATGCAGCAGCAGATGCAGCAGCAACTGCAACACCACCACCAGCAACAATTTATGCTGCTGCAGCAAAATACAGTCGCTGGAGTTGAAGCAAGAGACTTAGAAGAGCAAGACCCTGACTTCCTTCCGCACCAACATGAGCAGCAGCAGCAGCAGCAGCAACTCGCTGCTGCTGCTGCTGCTGCTGCCAACGCTGCAGCGACAGGCGTCACAAAGAGACGCACAAGAAGTTCATTTCTTGCTGCTGCTGCTGCTGCCGCAGCAACGGGTGCGCGTCTCCTTTTGCAGCGCCTGCAACAATTGCTGCTGCTGTTGCTGCTGCTGTTGCTGCTGCTGCCGCTGTGGTCCTGGTTGCTACTGCTGCTGCTGTGGTTCTTTTGCTGCTGTTGCTGCTGTTGTTGCTGCTACCTGTGATGTTTCTTCTATCTTCCTGCCCTCAGCATATTGCTCGACTGCTGCTGCTGCTGCTGCTGCTGTTTTGTGGCTGTGTTTGCTGCAGGTACGGACTACAGCGCGTCTCCTGGGGGCTGCTGCCCGTCTGCTGCTGCTGCTTCTCTGCCTCCTGCTCTTCATCAGCTGCCGCCTCACTTGCAGCAGCAGCAGTTGCAGCTGTTGCAGCAGCAGCAGCTCAGTGCAGCGCAACGCGCAGTAGCAGCAGCAGCAGACGGTCGCCACATCGGCACAGGCTTGGAAGGAGCTCTTGGAGCCCTGCAGCAGCAGCAGCCCGGGACGGCAGCAGCAGCTGCTGCTGCTGCAGCAGAGCTGGCAGCAGCGAGTATGGCCCCCGGAGCCTCTGAATTGGTGCGCTTAGAACCAGCAGCAACAACAGCAGCAGCAGCAGCAGCAGCAGCAGCAGCAGTACGTAGTCCTGTACGCATTTCTTAAGGTGCTTCTGTTTGAAAGATGCTGACGTTTCTGTTATTGCTGCTGCTGTTGCTGCTTCTGCTGCTTTTCTGCTGCTGTTGCTGCTGCTGCTGTTGCTGCTGCTGCTGCTGCTGCTGCTGCAGGCTGTGACGTTGCTGCGAGCGCCTGTGGCGAGCAGCCGCTTCCACCCCGTAGCTGACAGACTCCTCATATCCTGCCCCGACGGTAAACCCTAAACCCTAAACCCTAAACCCTAGAGTACTTCCTCCGAGCGGAAGGAGTAGAAGAGTTTGAGCGATGTGTGGTTGCTGCTGACGTTGCTGCCGCAGTTGCTTTAGCAGCTGGTGGAGTGTTTTCGTTGTCTCTAAACAGCTTTTTCTTGTGCTGCTGTTGCTGCTGCTGCTGCTGCTGCTGCTGCTGCTGCTGCTGCTGCAGGGGCAACGACGACGGGGTGCGCGGTTTCTATGCCTAACGGAGTGCTGCATCTGCGGCTGCTGGACGCCATGCCTGCTCCTTCGGGTGCTCGTCGTGGTGCTGTTAGCAGCAGCAGCAGCAGCGGCGGCTGTACAGCAGAAGACGCAGGAGCAGGAGCAGCAGCAGGAGCTGCGTGTGGGGGCAGCAGCAGCAGCAGTTTTTTTGAGATGGATGTGCAGCAGCAGACTTCTCAAGACGGTCTAGGAGGGAGCAAGCAGCAGACGCGCACAGCAGCAGCAGCAGCAGCAGCAGCAGCAGCAGCAAACGCTGATGCATGCATGCATGTAGACTTTGCTTATGCTGTGCGGTGGCCAGGCATAGAGACCCTTAGCGTTGCAGCAGAAGATGAAGATCTGCCTTGTGAATCTGTCTCCTGCAGCAGCAGCGAAGGGGAGGAGGAGAATCCAACGCCAGCAGCAAATGCAGCAGCAAAAGCAGCTGCTGCAGCAGCAGAAGGGAAGGCAGGGGAAGCAGGTGATGACCCTGCAGCAGCAGCAGCAGCAGGGAAAGAAGCTGCTGCTGCTCCTGCAGCAGCAGCAGCAGCAGCTGAATGCCCTAACCGGTGTCTTGTTGTTCCTGAAGACCCCAACAGCCCTGCAGCATTTTCTGTTGCTGCTGCTGCGCTGCAGCCACGAGAGCTGCAGCAAATTGCTGCTTCGCTGACGAAGCAGCTGCAGCAATGCTGCCCAGTGCTGAAGGGACAGATTCCTTATAAAACTTTAAAAACATTCAGGCCGCTGCAGCAGCGGGGCAGTTCTGGGGTGTATAGTCAGGAGCAGCAGCAGCTAATGGAGCAGCGGCTGCAGCAGCACCTCATGGAGGAACAGCAGCTGCAGCTGCAGCAGCAGCTGCAGCAGCAAAAACGCATTATGCTTTCAGCAGCTAACCCAGCCCACCAAGTCCTAGACCTTCGTGAACTGCTGGGGGCTGTCTGTCTTGCGGACCCGACAGTGCAGCAGCAGCAGCAGCAGCAGCAGCAAGAGCTGCAGCAGCAACAGCAGCAAGAGCTGCAGCAGCAGCAGCAGCAGCAGCAGCAAGAGCTGCAGCAGCAGCAGCAGCTGCAGCAGCAAGAGCTGCAGCAGGAAGAGGACGAGCAGCAGCAGCAGCAGCAGCACAACATTCGGAAGTCTGCTGCTGCAGATGACGTCGCGCCGAGCAGCAAACGCTTGAAGAGGGCACAGGGCGCTGCTGCTGCTGCAGCTACTGCCGTTGCTGCTGCTGCTGCTGCATGTACACCTGAGACGGTGAAAGGCAGTATTACTGCAGGAGTAAGTGCTGCTGTAGATGCTGCTGCAGCAGAAGCTGGTGATGCACAGGTTGCTGCTGCTGCTGCTTCTGAGGGTCTTGCTGCAGCAACAGTTGATGCCACGGCAGCAGCCGCCAAAAGAGAAGCAACAGAGGAGCCCCTTGCTGCAGCAGCAGCAACAACCGAAGCAGCAGCAGCTGCAGATTTGCTTGCATTCGCTGCTATGCAACTGACCAGCAGCAGCAGTAAAAGCAGCAGCAGCAGCAGCAGCAGCAGCAGCACAGAAGGGGTGAAGGCCTCTGGGGAGGAGGAGGCTGCCCACTCGTGGGGCGAGCAGACAGCAGCGGCAGAACAGCAGCAGCAGCAGCAGCAGCACCAACAGGAGCGAAAGCAGCAGCAAAATGAAGCAACTCAGCAGGAGGCCGTTGCTGCTGCTGCTGCCGAAGCAGCAGCAGCAGCGCCAGAGCCAACGTCGCCTCCAGAGATAGAAGCTGAGGCTGCTACATCCGTGAGGACAGCAGCAGCTGCTGCAGCAACAGATGCTGCAGCAGCAGCAGATGTTACTGCGGCAGCAGATGGTGCTGCAGCTGTTGCTGCTGCAGCAGATGCAGCAGCAGAAGCCTCTTCGGCTTCGAGGGAGTTGCACCAGGCTATAGAACCAACAGACGCAGCAGCAGCAACAGCAACAGCAGCAGCAGCAGCAACGGGAGAAACGAAAGCTGGGGACACAGCAGCTGAAGCAGAAGCAGCAGCTGAAGCAAAGACAACAGCCAAAACAGCAGCAGCAGCCGAAGAAATAGCAGCAGCTGAAGCAGCCTCAGCAGCCGAAGCAGCAGCAGCGACAGATGCAACAGCAGCAGCTGCAGCAACAGCAGCAGACGCTGCAGCAACTGCAGAAACTGCAAGAGCAGCAGCAGCTGAAGCAACAGCAACAGCGGAAGCAGCAACAGCAGCTGAAGCAGCAGCAGCTGAAGCAGCAGCAACTGAAGCAGCAGCAGCTGAAGCAGCAGCAGCAGCAGCAGCAGGAAGAGGAGTAGCTGCCGAAACAGCAGCAGCAGAGGCAACAAAGCATGCAGCAGATGCCGCTCAGGGAGCAGCAGCAGCACCAGCAAAAGACGTTGCTGCGCCCGAAGTAGCTGAGGCAGAAGCAGAGGCAGCAGCTCCTGCTGCAGCAACAATCGCTGGTGCATCTACAGGAGCTGCTGCTGCTGCTGCTGCATTACGTAGAGCGCCCGCTAAAGCTGCTGCAGAAGCAGCACCAGCAGAAGAGGAAGCAGCAGCAGCAACAGCAGCTGCAGCAGCAAAACCATCATCACGGCGCTGCAGCGACGGGCCAAAGGATGCAGAAAAAGCAGAAAAAGCAGCAGCAGGAGCAGCAGCAGAGGGAGATGGTGCTGCTGCAGCAGCAAGCGCAGCCGCGTCTATAGCAAAAACCTCGGAAGCAGAAGCAGCATCGTTAAGGGGAAGGAGAGCAGCAGCATCAGCAGAACGAGCAGGAGCAGCAGCAGGAGCAGCAGCAGCAGTAGAAAGAGCAGCAGCAACAGAAACAGCAGAACAAGCAGCAGCAGCAGCAGAGGAAGATGATGATGAAGATGGAAGAGACCCCTGGGCCCCTATGCTGTCTCCCATCCAAGAGGAGCTGCCTAGCAGCAAACGAAGCAGCTGCAGGACTTCGCTTAGCGACAGCAGCAACTGCAGCAGCAGCAGCAGCAGTAGCAGCAGCAGCAGCAGCAGCAAGCGGAGAGGGGATCGGCACAGGAGACACACAAACAGCACTGCAGCAGACTCCCACAGAACCAGCAGCAGCAGCAGCAGCTCGCGCGGCAGTAGGGAGACCCTTCGTTCTTATGCTGTTGATTCACTTGTAAGCAGCAGCAGCAGCAGGGAAGGTCGCAGCAGCACTGGCAGCTATACCAGGGCAGAAAGGCTGCACAGATCAACCGGCAGCAGCAGCAGCAGCAGCAGCAGCAGCAAGGGAGGGATTTCCCTATCGAGGGCCTCTTCATTCGAAGAGAGTGCAGCAGCAGCAGCAGCAGGTATGTCTGACTCGGATGATCCCTGGACTCCGGTCCCCTCATTAGATGCAGCAGCAGCAGCAGCAGCAGCAGCATCGCCTAGCAGCAGACACGGCAGCAGCTCGAGGGACATTGGGGGTCTCAACCAACGAGAAGGCAGCGCTGGTGGGTCTGTTAGCTGCTCCTCTCCTAGCGGCTTCCTGCAGCAGCAGCAGCAGCAGGAGTATGGGCAAAGCAGACAGGGCAGCAGCAGCAGCAGCAGCAGCAGCGCTGAGATGGGGGGCATTGAAGGTAGAGGCTCTGCCCCCTCAAGGCCGCTGTCTCCTCGCCGCATGCATTCTAGGTTGCGGCGTCAGCAGCAGCAGCAGCAGCAGCAGGAGCTTGATGAAGAGGACGAGCACGAGCACGATCAGCAGCAGCAACAGCAGCAGCAGCGGCGCATGGGTGTGGGGCCCCCTCCCCCTTTATCTAGGGGTCGTCCTTTGCTGCTGTCTTCATTGAACCGTCATGCACCTCCTTCTTCAAGAGGAGACAGAGGACAGCCGCTGCTGCCTTGGGGTTTAAATGCGCAGCAAACAGCAAACCCTCCTCTTCAGCTTCTTCCTGCTGCTGAGCAGCGCATCTTCTCTTGCTGGAGACATTCTGAGGACCCATTTGCTGCTCCTTATCCACCTGACCCTCCACTCAGACACCGCATTCGAGATTTCCAAGACTATAGACCTCTCAGACCAGGGGGCCCCCATGGGGGCCCCCCTCATGGAGGGGGGCCCCCCCATGGAGGGGGCCCCCACGGTGGGGGCCCCCACGGTGGGGGCCCCCATGGAGGAGGGCCTCATAGTGGGGGCCCCCATGTTGGGGGCCCCCATGGTGGAGGGCCTCATAGTGGGGGCCCGCATGGAGGGGGCCCCCATGGAGGGGGCCCCCATGGGGTAGTTGGTTCGCATGGGGGCCCCCCTGTTCATGGGTGCAGTTCAGGCAGCTGGGATATGCTGCGGTCTCCTCCTCATGGGGGTACAGAGAGAGACAGAAGAATGGGTGGGGGGGCCCCCAGTGGGGGCCCCCATTGGGATGGGCGTGAAGAGGGGTTGATAGCAAGGGGTTTGAGGAGGCCTGCTTCTTCTTTAGGCTACAGACACCAGCGCTCACACCCCTGGTAGATCAGCAGCAGCAGCAGCAGCAGCAGCAGCAGCAGCAGCAGCAGCAGGAGTAGCAGCAGCAGCAGTAGCACTGAGACTGGCGAAGGAGACTGTCTCCTTTTCAATCCGCGAAGCAAACTAAATGCGTTTTCACCCACAATTCATATTGTAAATACAAAGTATTGGCGTCCTGCTGCTGTTGCTCCTTTTGCTGCTGCTGCTGCTGCTGCTGCTGCTGCTCTTCCTGCTACTGCTTGCTACTGCTGCTGCTGCTGCTCTTCCTGCTGCTGCTGCTGCTGTTGGGGGGTCTTTAAGCTCAAAATAGTTGAGAGTGGCAGGGTTTTTGCTGAGCCCTCGGCTTTGCAGCAGGCTTTGCTGCTGCTGTTGCAGCAGCAGCAGCAGCAAACGCTGCAGCGCAGTGTAGCGCGAGACGTGTGCAGCGCAGTGGATATCAGAAGGAGCCGCAGGCAGACAGCAGCAAACAGCAGCAGCAGTAGCAGCAACAACGAAGAGACAGACAGACGAAAAGGGAGACAGCCAGCAGCAAGCAGCAGCAGCAGCAGCAGCAATAACGAACAACGAGAAGGGGAGTGGACGAAAGCTGAGATGAGCCCGGAGGGGCACATCGTAGCTATCTACGGGTAGCTATAGCTAGCTAGGGCTAGCTGTAGCTAGCTATGTCAGGCTACGGGTAGCTATAGCTAGCTGGTGTGGCTAGCTGGACGAGCAGCCCCTGCTGAAGCCTCTAACACCACTCTTCTAGCTATCTGCTTCGGCTAGCTACCTGCTACACCTAGCTAGCTGCTGCCGTAGCTAGCTGCAGCTAGCTGTAGCGGGAGCCTACAGCCGCTAGCCCAACCTAAACCCTAAACCCTAAACCCTAGGTGTACGCCGCTTCGTTGCACTTATTCCAGACCTACACTGGGAGCAGCTAGATGAAGGTTTAGGGTTTAGGTTTTAGGGCTGAGGGTTTAGGGCTTAGGCTTGAGGGTTTGCTCGTACGTGGGGTTATGATCGCTGGAGACTGTCTCTTGTCTTTGTTGCTCCTTCACAAACCCTAAACCCTAAACCCTAAATTAAAATGCGCATAAAGGAGAGTTTATTTCTACACCCTAAACCCTCGGCTGTAGCCACCGCCTTCTGTGGTGGGTGGCTGGGGGCTAAACCCTAAACCCTAAACCCTAAACCCTAAACCCTAAACCAGCTGCAACAAGATCTTCCTCCCTCTAGAGGGCTTTTTCAAGAAATTAGGGCTTGGATTCAAAGGGTTCGTTTCTAGTGTTTAATGCTTAGTGTTTAGGGTTTAGGGTTTAAGGTTTAGGGTTTAGGGTTTAGGGTTTTCCTGGGGCTGCACGGGGCCTCCGGGGGGCCCCCCGGAGGTCTTTGTTTTTTTTTTTTGCATTTGTTTGGCGTTAAGGCTGAAATGAGGGTTTGATTTGAGCGTATATGCTTTACTGTGTATAGTTGGAGAGTAGATCTAGCCTTTAGGGTTTAGGGTTTAGGGTTTAGGGTTTGGGGCTTCGAGTCAGCCCAGGGCGCTCCTTCTCCCAGACCCCACAACCGCTTCAATTCATTTTTGTCGCAGCCGTTGCAGTAACAGGAACAGCAGCAACAGCAGCAGCAGCAGCAACAACAACGGCAGCAGCAGCAGCAGCAGCAGCAACAGCAGCAGCAGCAGCAGCAACAGCAGCAGCAAGAGCAACAGCAACGGCAGCAGCAGCAGCAGCGGCAGCAGCAGCAGCAACAGCAGCAGCAGCTGCTGCTGCTGCTTCGGACACGGCAAGGGCAGAGAGTGGCTGCTGGGAGCTCCTCTGAAGCAGCAGCACCTTCGGCTGCTGTTGTTGTTGCTGCAGCTGTTGCTGCTGGCGCTGCTGTTTCTGCTGCTGCTGACTGCGCTGACGATGGATTCCTGCAGCAGCAAGCGCAGCGAGCCTCCGTCTGCTGCAGCAGCAGCAGCAGCAACAGCAGCAAGAGCGGATCTGGAGTGTACAGACAGGTGCGTATCTCAGAGCCCTCATATATTTGATATCTGCTTCCACCCCACAAACCCTAAACTAGTTGCTGCTGCTGCATTTGAAGGAGAGATAGAGCTGCATGCATTACCAGAGAAAGATGTGCTGCAGCAGCACCTGCAGCAGCAGCAGCAGCAGCGAGACAAGCAACGCGAGCTCAAAAGGCAGCAGCGACGCAGACTCCGACTGCAGCAGAAGCGCGAGCAGCAGCAGCAGCAGCAGCAGCAGCAGCAGGGTGTTGATGAAGGCGACAGCAGCAGCAGCAGCAGCAGCAGCAGCAGCAGCGATTCATCTGATGAGGAAGCCCCGGATCGCTTCCTAGAAGCAGACTTAGAGTGTTTACAGACCCGCATCCAAACCCTAAACCCTCACAAGAAGTCGTGCAGGGCTATTCACTTCTGGAAGGAAGGAAACGGTAACCCTAAACCCTAAACCCTAAACCCTAATTTCGACGACTCAAAGGATTGATCGGCACCTCTAGTAGAACGCAGGGTTTAGGGTTTAAGGTTTAGGGTTTAGGGTTTAGGGTTTGGTTGTTTGCAGCTATTTTAAGTGCGTCAGCTGATGGGCGATGCTGCATCGTCGATGTCGACTCGGGGGTTTGTACATGGCGGTCTCTTCGCAGCAAGTAAGGGTTTAGGGTTTAGGGTTTAGGGTTTAGGGTTTAGGGTTTGGCGTTTGGATAGCAAGGAGTGTTTTTTTTGCTATTTCTTTCTGCTCATATGTTCGTATTTTGCGTCTTTAACTGTATGCCTTGTACGCCAGAATTTAGGGTTTAGGGTTTAGGGTTTAGGGTTTAGGGTTTGCGGTGTAGGGCTGGCTTCGACGCGGCAACACCACTCTCTTGCAATGCATTTGCAGCAGCAGATGAAAGCGGTAGAATATCATTGTGGGACACCCGCCAGCAAAAACCGACAAAGATATTTCCTCCTGAAATGCCTGGAGTCTCGAGTAAGCGAGGGTTTAGGGTTTAGGGTTTAGGGTTTAGGGTTTAGGGTTTAGGGTTTAGGGTTATGAGGTTGAACGGCTGCGTTATTCGAAGTGTTTTATAGTTTGGGGTGTCCGGTTTACGTTGTGGAGGTAGGGGTTTGTGGTTTAGGGTTTAGGGTTTGTCGTTTAGGGTTTAGGGTTTAGGGTTTAGGGTTTGTGGTTTGTGGTTTAGGCATGTGTTACTCTTCGAGTTTGCTGCTCACGGCGGGCTGCGGATATTTGACTGTCTTTGATCTCAAAAAGGCGAAACTGAAGGCACGCAGCGACGAGTTAGAGGCAGACTTCACCAGTGTGCTTAGAGCTAAAGTAAACCCTAAACCCTAAACCCTAAACCCTAAACCCTGAAGCCTGAAGAAGCAACGCGTCCGCCTGGACGTACGAGAAAGTTGAGGAATCGAGAGAGCTCGGAAGCAGCACCAAGCGATGTCTTTGAAGCCTAGGGTTTTACAGTGATTTTAGGGTTTAGGGTTTAGGGTTTAGGGTTTAGGGTTTGTGCGCATGCAGGAGGGTTCAAAGGTTTGCTGCGGCTCCGAGGAAGGCAATATTTGTCTCTTTACTTGGGGCGACTTCGGCGATTTCAGCGACAGAATTACAGACATACGAACAGGGGTTAATGCATTGGTGAGTCTTTAGGGTTTAGGGTTTAGGGTTTAGGGTTTGGGGTTTAGGGTTTAGGGGTTTGGGTTGCAGGCGGCTGAATAGCGTGAAAGAGCTTCTTGTGCAATCACAGCAGCAGCAGCAGATGGCTTGTGGTTTTAGGGTTTAGGGTTTAGAGTTTAGGGTTTAGGGTTTAGGGTTTAGGGTTTAGGGTTTGTTTAGGGTTTAGGGTTTTGCTGAGCAGGTCAAGCTCGATGAAGACACCCTCCTCGCGGGCTGCGGCGACGGATGCATTCGCGTAGTTCAGCTGCACCCCAACAGAATTGCAGGTGAGGCTTAGGGTTTAGGGTTTAGGGTTTAGGGTTTAGGGTTTATGGGGTGTATGCGTTTTTGGGGACCAGGGTTTAGGGTTTAGAGTATAGGGTTTAGTATTCAGGGCTTACGGACTAGGGTTTGGGGTTTAGGGTTTAGGGTTTAGGGTTTAGGGTTTGCTCTTTAGGGATCTTGGCGGGGCACGGTCGTCGCGATGGGCCTGTTGAGCGTTTGTCTTTGAATTGCGACAAAACCCTCCTAGGTTCGTTTCGAGGGTTTAGGGTTTAGGGTTTAGGGTTGGGAACAGAATAGTTAGGGTTTTCAGCTGGGGGTTTTTGTTGCTTTCGCCTGTAGGCGGCTCAGCCCTTGGTTCATACGCTACAGTTCAAAGACCAGGGTTTAGGGCTTAGGGTTTGGGGTTTAGGGTTTAGGGTTTAGGGTTTGGGGTGCGTCGCAGCTTCGATTGCCCACGACAGCAGAATTCGGATTCATGACGCGAAGAAGGTGGAGAAGATGAAGACCAAAGTCGTCAGGCGTCTGAAGAAAGTAAACCCTAAACCCTAAACCCTAAACCCTAATGCTACCGCTAAACCCTAAACCCTATGCATGTGTTTTGCTGCTGAGGGTTTGGGTTTTTGTCTTCAGTCTCAGCAGCCCCATCACGACTTGCGCTCCGGCAAAGATTTCTTTGACGATTTGTAAACCCTCAATTAGGGTTTAGGGTTTGGAGTTTGCAGCTCTGCCCCCACGCGCTACCCCACGGCCCATGCTTGGCTTGCTAGTAACCCCTCCAGCTAGCCAGCCTCTTACCAAGCTAGCTAGCTAGCTAGCTAGCTACTTAGCTACCTAATGCATTAGCTAGCTATTTAGGCAGCTGTTTCCCTAGCTATCCGATTGATTGTCTGGCTAGCTGGCTAGCTGGCTAGCTGTCTAGCTGTGCTCTATCTGGGGAGGACTAGATACACCTCAGCAGGCGGAACAGATAGCTAGCTAGCTAGCTAGCTAGCTAGCTATTTGGGGAGGTGGCTGGCTAGCTGGCTAGCTGACGGGATTAACGAAGACCCAAACATTTCGCTTGCGCTTGTAAA